TTTTTTTGGCCATAACGGAGAAAAGGGCAAATCGGCTCGGAGGATGCGTCGGCATTTTCTTTCAGCTCTTCGATTGGAACCGACGCTTTTCCAAAAAGAAGCTATTTTCTCGGCAACCGCTTCTTCCTGGTCAGTCTATACGTATATATATACATGAATGCACACGCATATAAGTGCACTATTGTGTTGTCTGTAATGAACAGAGCTCAAATGCATAAACAGGAAAGCAAGCTTCCAAGAGGTTTGGAGGGAACGAGAAGATGTCCAAATCCAAACATGACTTGGTAAAACTCCTCGTTGAAATTGATATCTCTGTTTCTTACCTTGTGGGTAATGATATGCAACTTTGATTTGTGGTTATGGGTATGTCTTGTCGGGACGGGACATGAACAAATGGTAGATTGCTGATGAGAACAGAGGAGGTTTCCCAAAGAGGAGTGAAGTTGAGATGAGATCTCCTGGTTTGATGGCTCGGTTGATGGGGCTTGAATCCATGCCATCCATTCACAGAGACAAACCCAAGAAGAAAAAGTCTTCATTATCACAGTTTGGTAATAAAATTTCTCAGGAAGATGAGTTGCTTGTCGAGTGTAATGTGTTTTGTAATAGCAGTAGTAGTAGTAGGGAAGAAGCCTCGGGATTTGAGAAATCAAGGCCGTTGAAGATTCAGAAGCATGGATCAGAGGCTTTGCAGATTAAGAACGTATTGACGCAAGTGAGGAAACATCATCAGAATAGACATCATCAGTACCAGATACTGGCTTCTCCGCCGGTTAGAACTCCGAGGCTCCATCGCAAGAACTCTCGGTGGATGAATGCTGCAGCTAGAATTCTTGAACCGGGATTGCAAGCTAAGAAAAGCCCGAAATGCGCTATCGCTTATCCGGGCTCTAGAAGTTGTGAAAATATCGGGAAAGATCCAGTAGAAGCTGTCTCACCCGATACATTCGGGTTTCAGCACAGTTATAACCTCACTTCTTGCAAAAACTGCGGTAGTTTCGTCGATGTTCTGGGCTCGGGTGAGGTGATTGAGGAAAAGGGACAAGTTTCCGAATCTTCATCCTCTTGTCTGAAAGAAAGAAACGTGGCTTGTGGAAATCAAGAACCTTGTGTGTTTGCTGCTACTAAAGGTGTAAGGAGTGATTGGATAACTGATGATAATAAAGTGGAGAGGAAGGCTTTGCGTGTAAACCATCGCAAGAATGAAACCGTGTCCTCGGGACTAAGAAACAAAAACAATTTCCACAATCAGCTGTTGCAGAGGGAAAGATATCCTCAAGAAGCTCGAGTGCATCACAGTTCACAGAGCAAGAGATCTTGTTCTTCACCTGAAATTGCAGTCAACCACAAAGCCAAAGGCTTTTTACCGAGCAGGAACCGTCCATGCTTTCCAAGAAAAACAGAAAACTCTGAGTTGAATTTGCAGAGAAACCCTCATAGCAGAAGATTCGAGGATTGTAGTAAGCCGGGGTTAAGCAGCTCAGCAAGCAGAAGAAGGATAGTTTGTGTTAGTGAACAGGGCCAAGGCGGCACCTTTTCCTGTGGATCATCGAGAGAATCGAAATTTGGTTTGCCCGGTAAAGGTAATAGCCGAAGCTGCAGAGAAGTGAAAGAGAGAAAAGGGCTGCAACTTGATGCGGATATGGTCAGATTGCTTCTTCATCAAAAGCTGAAAGAACTGGCTTCTCAGCAAGAAGATGAAACCGGGAGAGGAAGTGCTTCTCAGAGCAAACGAGCTTCTGTTATTATCCAAGAGTTGATATCTTCTTTAGCATTGGAGCAGCCTTATGCAGAAAAAGCTTATCGGGTATGTTTATGGTATGCATGGATAAAGCCATATCACCTGATTTCAACTTAAATCTCTCAGTTCATGTATCATTTGGTTGCTACACAAAGATTCTGCATTCCCCTTATGCTTTTCTTGTCTCTGATCATGTGCCTGTGTTGTGTGATTCTTTCAGAGAGAAGGCAAAACAGAGGTGGGGAGTCCTCTCGGACAAGCTCACAACAACAGTGACTACACCAGTCCGGGATCTGTTCTTGATGCCTCTTTCTCCAACGAGAGTTGCTTTTCCAGTAGTTTGGGCGATAACTCGGGTAAATAAGATGTCAAGATCGGCCAAATTCTCAGTAAACTTCTAAAACTTGCAGTTTTGGTTGTCAGAATCTCATCTTATGTTCTGTAATTCCAGGACAGGTCAGACTGCCTCTTGAACCAACAGAACTAGATATGGATATTCTTGAAGATTCTGCAACTTCAATCAAGAAATCAATGACGAGCAACTTCCGCGCAATCACAGATCTTATCAACCACGTCTCGCACCTTCTGCATGGTCTAAGACACATGGGTCTCATACCAACACAGAGCAGATTCATCAATGCAAGAGACGTTATTATCCAGACCGAACTATTCTTTGGAACCCAAGAAGTCTTCCTCATCTGTCCTAAACTCCTAGATGAACTCATGATCCAAGCTGCCCAATCCAAGAGTCTGGTTAAAGTCCCAGGTTTAACCGGCGGGTTCCTGGTGGATGCCATGATCGAATACTGTGAGTTAAGATACTGCAGACACATTTTCTCGGGTCTCAAGCAATGGAGAATGTTACACTTGCGTGTTGATTCAAATGGGTTGATACGAGAAGTTCTTGAAGAGGCTACTAAGTGGACACAGATGACCGGGATGTATCTGGAAGAGATTATCAGCATAGAGATGGAGAGATGGCTAGATTTTGAAACCTATGTGTCTGAACTTGGAACAGAGATTGCTTGGGAGATACTTTGCTGTTTGGTCGGCGAGATAACTGCAGATCTCAGGAAACGCTTGCCGGAAAATCATCGGGAATAGGACCGGTTTTCCATGTTTTGAGATTCTTTACCCTTCCTGAACCGAAAATTTGTCATCCGAGCCCACCATTTGGTAAATGTTATTCTGAGAATCATAGAATTCAAACTTATAATTGCGTCAGTATCATACGAAATCTTGATGGATAATCGAAAAGCTCTCACCTTTATACACGTAAATTCGTTATTTGTTCGAGATTTATACAAACCCATCACCAGTAAATCTCCATCAATCAAACCCAGAAGAGGAAAAAGAACAAAAGAATCAATCTTCTTCAATCAAACACAGAAAACAAAAGGTAAGAACGTAGAGCCAACAAGAAAAGACCAAATCTTGTTCCAAGAAGGTGAAAGGAAGAGAGACCAGAGACACAGCAAGCATCAGTAGAGTTGTCTGTAACCCAGAATGGTCCGCCCTCCCCCGACCGCTTTCCTCCCACCTCCGTGGCCATTAATGGCGGGAGCCGCCGCCCTGGAGATCTTCTTCAGATCTTCGATAGACGCGTAGCTTTTGCGTGCCGCCATTCCCATCACTCTACTCTTCTTCTCCCCTGCACTCGCCGATTTGCTCCCTCTCGCCGACGCCGAGCCCAAGCCGGCGGTGTTTCTGATCTTCGATGACGGCGCCGGCGGCGTGAGTTCTAAATGACGAGGAAGCGCGTTAGGGTTCGTCGCCGGCCTCCGGTTCTCCTTCCGAATCACCGCAGAGAAATCAGGAACCGATTGGGCCAATACCGACGATTTCCGCTGATTCGTCACCGTCTTACCCCCAAGTCTCCCCGGTCTTTTCCTCTCCGGCGAAACCCTATCCTCTTGTTCCTGTGAAACTACAATTTCGTCCTCGAACCTCACATGTTTCATCTTCTTCTTCGGCCCATCTCCGCCGAAAAACCTCTCATCTTCCTCCGATAGGAACTTCTCGAAGTCTCGCTTCACTCGAAGCTTCGCTTCTCGCAATCGCGAGTATTCTCCGTACCTGGGTCCTCTCTCGAAGCCGCAGAAATCATCAACGAGAAGCTTAAGCTCGTGAGAATCGGAGTTCTGAGAGAGAATGAGAGACATCGGATCTACAGAGAAGAACGAGGGTTCCGTTCTAGGGTTCGAAATCGTATCCGCCATTGTTGAGCGATCGATCGACCTCAAAACCAAACACTTTTGACAATCGCTCTAATCAGAATTATCTTTTTTTTTTCTGGGTTTTCGCTTTCGGAGGCTTTATTAATTGAAAAGTTATCTTTTTTTCCTTTATGCTTTATGGGTTCTGTTCAAATCTCTTCCCAACGGTCTGATTGAAGAAGACTCTTGAGGCTGAGAATCTATTGTGCGGACGATTTTACCCTTTTCCCTTTCTCACTTCCAAGTTCCAAGTTCCAACGGTCTATTGGGGTAGGGCCCAGCTGTCTGGTCAACGGTCTTAGTTTCAATAACTAACATATTTCTTTGCCTAGATTTTGCTTATATAGTGTAATTACTCCGAAATGATAGGAATTATATTTATAACACGTTTTTTTTTGGTAAAATATACTCCCTCCGTTTCAAAATATTTGTAGTTTTAGGTGATTTTTCATGTTTCAAAATATTTGTCATTCTACATTTTCAAGGCATTTTTTTACAATAGTTTCCAATTTTATCCCTATTAAATTCTAATAAATTATTAGTGATAACATTGTTTTTATTATTAAATAAGGGTATATATGACTTTTTCTATCTTTTCTTAAAAAATGTGAAATAAACTAAAACTACAAATATTTTGAAACGGATGGAGTATTTATAACACATTTGCTGCCCCCTATGTTTTAATTTGCTAGATAGTGGATTGTGTATATACATATATATACAGTTTGTGTATATTTAAATGTAGAATTGTGAACAACTAGGTTGCGGTGTATACATGTATATAAACTCTTCTTCAGTAAAAGAAATACGCCGAACTGTTTTGGCTTATCTTTTAGGAAAAACGATACTCTGTTTTTAGAGAGAGAAAGAAGAGAGGAAAAAGATTTGAAAAAATTCTCAGTATATTTCACAGAGGTATGTACATGTTTTTATACAGTTTACAAATGAAACGGAAATCTGTTACAAAAAGGTAAAAGGCAAAACCGTATAACAAACTCTCAAAAATATTTGAATTCCCTCGGAAATTCCAGCGCGAACAGAATGGTAATCTGTAAAACCCCCTCCTCAAGTCTGAGATGGGTGAAACAGATTTGAAACGTGAAGTCGAGATAACAAACTGTCGAACAGAGCTGGTTGTAGGGCCTTAGTAAAAATATCAGCCAGCTGATTAGCGGCATGAACATGCATCAAGATCAAAAAACCCGATTTCAGCTTGTCACGAACGAGATGGCAGTCAATCTCAATATGTTTAGTGCGCTCATGAAACACGGGATTGGTAGCGATGTCGATAGCGGATTGATTATCACAAAATAACTTCGCCGGCCCTGTCAACGGAATATGGAGATCGGCCAATAGATTATTCAACCAAATCAACTCACAAGTGGCATTGGCAAGGGAACGATACTCGGCTTCTGTGCTACTCCGAGAAACCGTGGTCTGCTTCTTAGCTTTCCAAGATATCAGGGAGTCACCGAGAAAAACGTAGAAACCGGAGGTTGAGCGTCGGTCGACAGTTCTGAATTGACAGAATAAAACAGACCTTGGCCCGGGTTCGATTTCAAGTATCGAACAACACGATGAGCAGCAGCAAGATGAGCATCAGTGGGGCGTGAGAGGAACTGGCTAAGCTTGTGGACAGCGTAAGTGATGTCGGGCCGGGTGATGGTGAGATACAATAAACGACCGATAAGGCGTCGATACCCAGTGATATCAGACAAGCAAGTGCCATAATCCTTAGAGAGTCTAACAGCCGGATCAAGAGGAGTCGAAATAGGCTTGCAAGCAAGAAAACCAGAGTCAGCGATCAGATCAAGGCAGTATTTCCTCTGATTGACAGCAATTCCAAGTTACGACCGAGCCACCTCCAAACCCAAGAAATATTTCAGCTCCCCAAGGTCCTTGATATGAAACTTAGCTCGTAACAGAGACTTTAATCGTTCAACAGCCAAGTTATCGTTGCCAGCGATAACTATGTCATCGACATAGACCAGTAGAGCAACAAAAGAAGTTCCAGACCTTTTAATGAACAACGTATGATCAGATGGAGACTGAATGAAGCCATCAGCGAGAAGGACATTAGCGAAAGTGAAATACCACTATCGTGATGCCTGTCGGAGACCATACAAAGACTTCCTCAATCTGCAAACAGCGTTGGATGGCAACGATTCACCAGCTTTAGGCGTAAAACCAGGAGGCAGAGACATATAAATTTCTTCATCAAGATCACCATGAAGAAATGCATTGGTGACATCCATCTGGGTCAAGGTCCAATGTTGCGTCACTGTCAAAGCCAAGAACAACTTAACAGTGACGAGTTTGGCAACAGGGGAGAAGGTATCGAGGAAATCAACGCCCTCTTGCTGCATGTAGCCCTTGGCCACCAGACGCGCTTTAAATCTGTCCACCGAGCCATCAGATTTCCGCTTGATCTTATACACCCACTTACACCCAACTGTCTTTTTGTTTGCCGGAAGAGACACGATGAACCAGGTTCCATTCGCATCAAGAGCATCAAGTTCAGCAGTCATAGCCGTTCTCCATTCAACAGAGGATACAACTTCTTTAAAATTTTTGGGTTCAGTGGAAATGGTAGAGTTTAGGACAAAAGATCGATAGGAAGGAGATAAACGGCGATATGACAGCACCGAAGATAAGGGATAAAGAGTTGGAGAAGAAGGGGCAGAAGAGGAATCGAGAAGGTAGCAGTGATAATCCTCAAGGTATTTAGGCCGAGAAATTTGTCGACGAGGTCTGTCAAGTTTTCCAGAATGATCGGAAATGGGAGGAAAAACTGATGTGGCAGGAGCCGAATCAGGAGAAGAAGAAAAGGGTTGGGGGGTAAGGTGAGTGACGAAGGATTGGGTAATTGAGAAACAGAAAGATCAGGGGAGGGGATGGGTAAAGGCAAGATGGAATCAGAAAAAATGGAAGGGAATAGAGACTGAGGACCATCGTCGACTGTGAAAGGGAAAATATTCTCATGAAAAACAACGTGTCGAGAAATGAAAATAGAGTTGGATTCAAGATCGAGAAGCTTATACCCTTTGTATCCTGGAGGATAGCCCAGGAAAACCGACGCTCGAGCCCGAGATGCAAACTTATGTCTGTCAGTGACGTAAGTGGATGCATAAACAAGACATTCGAATGCTCGTAAGTGCCCATAGTCTGGAAGTTTTCCCTGCAAGATCTCAAAAGGCGATTTGTTGAGCAATAACGGGGAAGACGCCCGATTAATCAAATACACAGCAGTACAGATGCATTCAGACCAAAAGGAGAGAGGCAACTTCGACTGGAAAAGCAGAGCACGGGCGACGTTCAACAGGTCTTGATGTTTCCGTTCGACAACAGAATTCTGCTCTGGAGTTTGTACGCAAGAAAAATAGTGAGTGATGCCACGTGAGCGAAAGAAATCAGAAAACTTAAGCTCAGGCGCATTATCAGACCGGACAGCTTTAATAACTTTCCCATATTGCGTTGCAATCATCGTCATAAACTCTGGTATAAGCCTTAGAACATCGCGTTTCGATTTCATCATATAAATCCAAGTGCCACGTGAATGATCATCGACAATAGTCAAGAAATAACTGAAATCGTCATGAGAGACAGAAGCAAAAGGACCCCAAACATCGATATGAATGAGATCAAAGGAACAAGGAGAAATGTTGTTGTATGATATAAACGGTAAGCGACGCTGTTTAGCCAAATGGCAAATACGACAATGCTTGGAATCTGTAAAATGCTTAAGAGAAAGAACAGAAGATAGAGATCTGATTTTCTGAAAAGACGGATGTCCAAGTCGACAATGCCAAAGGGAAGCATCAGCATGGAAGGCCTGGACAGGAAACGAAGAAGGAGAGTGTGAGTGCGAGAGGATGCCAGACTCGAGAAAATACAGATTGTGACGAAGCCTAGCCTGTCCAATCGTCGAGCCCCGAGTAGGCTCCTGAATAAGGCAACAATCAGAAGAAAAGGAAACAACAAGGTTAGAATGAAGAAGCAAGGAGCTGACACTCACAATGTTGAAAGAAAAAACGGGAATAAAGAAGACATCATGCAAAAGAATATGATCATTCAGAGCTACAGAACCCATATGATGAACCAAAAGTTGCGTTCCATTAGGCAAAGTAACCGAGCGAGGAGCAATGGGAACAAGGTCTCGAAACAATCGTTTGTCAAAGCAAACGTGAGCTGAAGCACCCGAGTCAATGATCCAGGAAGAAGACGGAGCAGAGACATCGGGAGAGGTCGAAGAGCAAATAAAAGAGGAGACCAGATGAGGATTACCAGAAGAAGAAGCAGTAACATCAGGTGCCCCTGCCTCCGTAATGGTAGGTCCATATGTCTGCAACTGTGAGCTGAGCTTGGAACAAAGCTCCTGTAACTGTGCAAACGAGAATTTACCCATATCCGAAACCGTGGGAGGAACAACATAGTTTGTTTCCTTAACCAGATTGATAAAATGACCCGATGCTGGCGAAGAACCGTGCTGAGAAGGCTTGGTCTGAGATTGAGATCTGCTACCTCCAGAAGGTTTATACCCAGGAGGGTAACCATGAAGCTTATAGCACTTCTGAATTGTATGGCCATACAATCCACAGTGAGTGCAAAGCGGGCGTTGCTTGGACTTGAAAGGAGGACCAGCAACAGCTGCAACATTCTCAACAGGAAGAGAAGCAGAGGACTGGAAAACAGCATCAGAGGGCATAGGAGATTTTACCAGACGCTGTTGTTCTTGTTGTATCACTAGATTGTAAGCCCTCTGTATATCGGGCATCGGATCCATCATCGTGATCTGATTACGGACCGCTTCAAATTCATCATTTAATCCATAAAGAAAATCAATGACAAAATCCCCTTCGAATTCATCAGCCCAGCGTTTGTCAACGAGGCAAGTGCACTTTCCACAGGTGCACCGAGGATGAACACGGACAGTCTTGAGCTCCTCCCAAATAGTAGAAAGAGCAGTATAATACTTAGCAACGTTCATAGTACCTTGACGGAGACTACGGAGCTTCTGCTTGACGCGATATTTGCGAGGAGCATTAGACTGCTGGAAACGGTGAGCGAGATCGAGCCACATCTCTCGAGCAGTGGGAATGTACATCAAATTCTCAGAGATGTCCTCAACAACAGAATTGATGAGCCATGAACCCACAATCGCATTATTGCGATTCCAAAAACGGAGAGTAGGGTCTCCATCAGCAGGCCTCGGCAAAGAACCGTCAACAAAACAGAGTTTATTACGGCCTTCAAGAGCCATAGAAATGGCGCGTTGCCAAGAGCTGTAATCACCAGCTCCAGTAAGACGTTTCGTGACGATCTGGAGGCCGCCATGATCGCCAGAGCTAAGAAAATACGGATTGTCAAAGCAATCGAAAGATGCCGTGGTCTGAGAAGAGACCGGAGCAGAAGACGCCGGAGAAAGAGGATCATTCTTCGGGTACGAAGATGGTGGAGACGCCATTTTCTCAGAAGATCAAGGAGAAAAACTGAAGAAAATGGGAAAGGAGAGACCGAAAACGAAGAAAACCCAGGAATCTAGCTCAGAAGCTCTGATACCATTTTAGGAAAAACGATACTCTGTTTTTAGAGAGAGAAAGAAGAGAGACAAAAGATTTGAAAAAATTCTCAGTATATTTCACAGAGGCATGTACATGTTTTTATACAGTTTACAAATGAAACGGAAATCTGTTACAAAAAGGTAAAAGGCAAAACCGTATAACAAACTCTCAAAAATATTTGAATTCCCTCGGAAATTCCAGCGCGAACAGAATGGTAATCTGTAAAACTTTCCAACGTAATCAGAGGAAGAGTTGTTAAATGATAAATCCGGGCACCCGTAATATAACGTCAGAAGCTGTGTTTCCGCAGTCATTTCAAGAAAAGGTCCATCAAATGTGGAGTTGGAAAGGATTTTCGGACAAAGGTTGTTGAGATAATCCGTTCTTGCGAGCGTTAACTCTGAAGAATGGTAATTTACGAGAGTGAACTGTGAAGAATCGTATTTTACCTCTAGGATTCTGTACTTCAATGGGGAGATGTTGATCTCTGCGAAGGCTCCATTGCAGTGAAGCTCGAAACCGGGGTGACCACAGCTTTCCCTGCCGCGTGTCCAAAAAGGGTAGGCGAGATCTTGAAGATTGGCGCAAGAAAACGAGGTACCGCAGAGGCTAAAGCGCTCATCAATGGAAAAAACACCAGAGGGGATAGCGAAAGCTACGAGTACGACGACGGATAAGGAATTTGTCCGAGAGGAAAACAGACTCATGGTTGTCTGGTTTGTCTGGTTTTGCCTTGAATATGAACTATAAGACTGTAAGAGGAGGAGAGGAAGAAGAAGATGACGATGATGATGAGGGAGAGAACTGGATGATTGATGCAATCCCGTTTACTTCTGAGTCTTGATGGTTGACGAGGTCAACTCTGAAATATAAGACTTTGGCCTCTTTGACTATGTTTGCGTGGGTCGAGGATCCGACCCGGATCCGGACCCGGAAGTACGACGACCGACAGTGTTGTTGCCGTGAACTCGCCAACTCAGGAGCTCCCAGTGGTGACCAAAAGGCGCTCGAGAAAGAACGTCAGCTTTCAGAAACGCGCCCAGATGCTGGCCAATCCCGGCATGCTACGTCACCACCATCCACCCATAACTCTGCTCCCGCCGCCGCATCATCATCATCTGATGTCCCATCTCTTCCTCCCCCTCTCTGCCGATGGCTTCTTCTAATTGGCTTTACGATGACCATTATTACTGTGGGCATCCCAAGGCTTCTACGACGTGACCGGAAAATGGGTTCTTGACGGAGAACGGATGGAGTCGCTGGCCGGAGAAGTTCATGGCTGGAGACCTTCGCCGGAGATTTGATTTGATCTTCATCTCTGTCTTGGGCTCTAATGGGTTTTTTTTCGATTGGCCCGTTTGAATTTGAGTTTTTCTTACAAAATACTCCCTCGCCCACTCGCTCACGACGTTTTAAGTTAGTTTTTTATGTCAATAAATAGTTGTCATTTTAAAATTTTCAAAATAATTTTCAATTTTATCCTTAGTATAAGTTATTAAATCCCAATAGATTATTAATTATATGTCAAATTTTGTATTAATAAAAGCTATATGAGACAATTTTTTTATCTTCTTAAAAAACGTAAAAAAGACTAGAATGCTAAACTTTGTGAAATGGAAGGAGTATATTTTTTCTAGAATAGTGTATGATTTTTTTATTATGAAGTTGCGAATTATTTTACGGTTAATGCGTTTGGTAGTCTTTTTTTCTTGTAAAGAAATATTGTAGTTCTTCCTTTTCTAATTAATTATTTCCTTAATTTCGCTTAATTGTTAAATGATAATTTTACAGACCATTCTGTTCGCGCTGGAATTTCCGAGGGAATTCAAATATTTTTGAGAGTTTGTTATACGGTTTTGCCTTTTACCTTTTTGTAACAGATTTCCGTTTCATTTGTAAACTGTATAAAAAACTCTCAAAAATATTTGAATTCCCTCGGAAATTCCAGCGCGAACAGAATGGTAATCTGTAAAAGAAAGTTTAGTTGCGAAGCTGAAAACGTAGGGATTGGCTATTATACCACAAGAAACCTCTCATACTTTGAACTTTTTTTTTTGGGTAAGAGGTGATTTGTATTATATACCGAAAAGTTACATCCGAGCAATTGTTTGCATACAAAAGATTTGGAACCCACTAGGAAATGGTAACTAAGGTAGAAAACAAGCTATTTGATTAATGTCGTGTTTCTCGCGTCAAGTAATACCAATCTGCAAGTAAAGATCTCCTATCATTACGGGAATTTCCTTTGATAGATAGCAAAATATTCCGAATAGTCCGGTCCACCTTCCAACGTGTGTGTTCAATTGATCTTCGTCTCCCTCGAAAGATTCGATGATTTCTTTCCTTCCATAACTCATATATCGTTGTTTGTACGAGGAACTGGATGATTCGTTTGTTGTCTCTTCCTTCGCTTTGTGATGCATTTCCTACCCAATCCATGCATTGGTCAATGTTTGAGGGTGGCCTTTGACCACAAAGTCTTGCGTAATACATCCAAACCTGATTGCTATATCTGCATTGGAAAAACAAGTGCAGATGTGTCTCCTCTGTCGCGTCACATAGAACACATGATGCCTCTGTTATCACTCCCCATCTATGCAACCTGTCTTTAGTAGGTAACCGGCCCAACATGACCTGCCAAGTGAGAAAAGCATACCTAGGGATGGCTTTAGGAAACCAAGCAATTTGATGCCACTGTACCAAATCATCATGTTGTCGGATATGGTCCCAAGTTCGGCTAGTGAGGAAATAGTCTCTGTAATCATCAGCTGCGTATTTCCATAATGTCTGGTCCTGCTCATCATTCTCCTGTGGTGGTGGTATAGTCGATAACAAGGTAAGGAAGGCTTGCTGCCTATCCGATCTTGCACTCGGTAAAGCCCAGCCACTTCCATTTACAGCACTTCGGACAGTCGCATAGAGCGGAATACGAAAGCTACGAGGTCCCGCATCTCCAATGTAATTGATCAATGGTCCTAGAGAAGTCCAAGGGTCATGCCAAAATAGAGTTCTTGCACCATTACCAAGCCTGATTCGGATGAATTGTTGAGCCAACTCTTTCAATCCTAATAATTTCCGCAGATTCCAAGAGAAGCGAGGAGATGGTACCGTGTTCCAGAATCCCTTCACCTTGAAGATATTTTCTTTTGTCCAAGCAACCCATAAAGAGCCTGACTTGGAGAACAAAATCCAGATTAGTTTTAATCGAAAAGCCGTATTGTAATCAGCAACACTTCGCAGACCCAACCCTCCTTCTCGCTTGGGTTTACAAATGTTAATTACCAAGCCTGATACGGATGAATTGTTGAGCCAACTCTTTCAATCCTAATAATTTCCGCAGATTCCAAGAAAAGCGAGGAGATGGTACCGTGTTCCAGAATCCCTTCACCTTGAAGATATTTTCTTTTGTCCAAGCAACCCATAAAGAGCCTGACTGAACAAAATCCAGATTAGTTTTAATCGAAAAGCGGTATTGTAATCAGCAACACTTCGCAGACCCAACCCTCCTTCTCGCTTGGGTTTACAAATGTTTGCCCATGAGACCCGACGTCCACCGGAACCAGTGGGGTTACCAGACCATAGGAAGCTCGAACATAGGCTGTCTACTTGTTTCGTGAAAAACTTCGGCAGTAGGAAGACCATCCCCCAAGCATTAATTTGCCCGTAGATGACAGAGCTAACTAGCTGGACTCTACCTGCATAAGACAGATGCCTGGTTGTCCACGAAGTTAGCTTTGCCTTGATTTTCTCCATGAGGGGTTGGTAGTCTGCCTTGGTAAGGCGAGTGTGGCTGAGTGGGATGCCCAAGTAACGAACCGGCAGCGATCCTACTTGGAATCCTGTCAGCACACTAATCTCCGAGGCCTCTTGTGTTGATAGCCCACCGAGGAAAATCTCCGTCTTTGTCATATTGAGGTGCAAACCTGAATACTTGCTGAAAGAATCCAGGAGCTCCTTTACTTGCAGTAAGGATTGGTTGTCACCCTTTGTGAATACCATGACATCACCAGATTGTGCGAAAGAAGCGTCAAACTTCCAGCTTCTACATTTACGTTAATGGAAGCAGTGAACGTCCAGACGCCGGAGAAGTTAGTGGAGGCTCTTGGTCAGGGTTTCGGGGTTACATTGAACAACAGTGATTGCTTACAGTGTGTAGAATCTAATGGCTTTTGCGGATATGATTCCAACTCTGGAGGATTCGTCTGTGTTTGTGATGATAAGCCATACCTTCATACTTGTCCAAGAACATGTAAACCCATTCTGATGGATCATAATCTTGTTAAAGAAATTCAGTCAGCTTTCTATATTGACAAGATTTATTTGCTTGGGGGTTGCTGCAGGTACCAAGTTAATGAAAACAGTTCTCATAGGTTAGTTTTCTGCCAACCCAAACTTCGAAATCCGAAATCGCTTCTTAACATTTCTTGGTAAATGTTCATAACCAGTAGCGATTTTCGGTTTTTCTGATTTTCAGGTTTGGGAGGAGCTTTGTTGATTATTTTGTTAATATGATACATCAACTGGGTAAGAAAGGTAAGAAAAGATCTGAGAAACAATCTGAACCTGGAGGCCGTAAATCAGAACCTCGAGCAGTTTATATCGTTGAAACGATTTAGTTATACGGAGATAAAGGAAATCACCAAGTCATTCGAACTTGTCGTTGGAAGAGGCGGGTTTGGAACCGTATATAGAGGAAACCTTCCAAATGGCCGTTTGCGGTTAAGGTCTTGAAGAACACAAAGGGAAATGGCGAAGAATTCGTCAACGAAGTCTCGAGCATGAGCAAAACATCTCACGTAAACGTCGTTTCTCTGCTCGGCTTCTGCTGCGAAAGGTCGATGCAAGCGATCATATACGAGTTCTTGGAAAACGGGTCCCTGGATAGGTTTATATCGAGAAAATCCCAGCCGAGTATCGATCTCAGAACACTGTATGGGATCGCGCTAGGAGTTGCTCATGGTCTGGAGTACTTACACCATGGATGCGAGACAGGGATTGTCCATTTCGACATAAAACCTCAGAACATACTCCTGGGTGAGAATCTCTGCCCGAAAGTTTCGGATTTCAGGCTGGCAAAGCTCTGCGAGGAGAAAGAAAGCATCTTGTCGCTACTAGACGCGAGAGGGACGATAGGGTACATTGCTCCAGAGGTTTTATCGAGAATTTACGGAGGAGTATCTCACAAATCGGATGTTTACAGTTACGAAATGCTGGTTCTTGAGATGATCGGTGCAAGAAACAGAGAGAGACCCGAAACTTGTGCGTCCAACACAAGTTCAATGTACTTTCCGGATTGGATTTATAGGATCTCGAGAAAAGGAACTGTACGAGGTTTCTTGAGGGAGACATAACCGAAGAGGAAGAGATTGGGAAGAAGATGATACTTGTGGGTTTATGGTGTGTTCAGTACTGTCCATCAGATCGGCCGCCGATGAACAAAGTGGTGCAGATGATGGAAGGAAGTGTCGATGCTATTACAGTACCTCCTAAACCGGTTTCCCAGTTTCCTGGAGCTTCTTCTCTGACATAAGAATCTCAATGGCCTTCAGAGGAGAGTTTAGAGTTAAACTCCAAACAAGTATATGGTCCATGATGTGTTGAATCACTCCATATATTTATGCCATCTTCTGTCTTTTACAGATTAGATTAATGGAGCCAAGTTGGAGTGATTCAAGCGTTAGCATTTGTCAGTCCATAAATATTGCAGAAATGGATATCCAAGTGTACAATATATATGGTAATAAAGGAAACATAATGGTTCCTGGTTCAGGACAACTAAAAAAACTGATTTATGTAATTGAAATTGGAATAATATATTACATTTTCTAATTTCTCACAAGACAAAAAAAGAAAAAGCAACCCCACCTTTCTTACAGTTACAGCATCCCCCGATGTTCCATGTGAAGCTTTCAACAACTCTTAAAGGAAAGATCAAAAACCCTAATCACCCATCACCATCAGCCATCATATCATCATCACACTAGAATCATCTTTCATGTTCTTGTTGTTGTCATTGAGAGCTGAGATCATTGACAATGCCATGAAGCTTTCTCTCCAATACCTCTCCACAAATATTTCCCATCAAGTGGTAGAAAGCCATGAGCTCGGATAGCTTTTCCACTGTCATTTTGCTCATCATGTTCCTAGCCATCCTTTGCTTCTCCTCGTCCAGCTTCACCTTCTGCATATACGATCCCCCGTTCCTCACCGTCGCCCCCATTTCCTTCAGCCGTGTCTCTTGCTCCATGCTTAGAGCCGTGTTGGACTGAACCCACATCGCCAAAATCACATATCTCAACATTACGTCGAGGCATAAGCTCACAAGAACAACTTTAACATAGAGGGTACAATCAGATTTACCTCCTAAATGTCAAGAGCTATCACCTCGATTGTAATATGTAACATATATGACACAATCTAGTTGGAAACCAATGATTACTATCTTGGGATTTGCATAGGATAAGCTATAACTTATTAATTGAAACTTGACCCGTCCATGCTAATAAAGATGGAGGGATCCCCACCACAATGAATACTCTGAAATGGTTGGTATATGGCAAAGAAATGGCTTTTTTGCTATGTCAACCCTTAGGATGGCGAAAGGCCAAATAAGTGTTCGATATTGCCCCAAGTCACCTGACCCTTTCCCTCTTGTAATATTGTGGATCAGAATCATTATTGTGCAGACAGTTTCAGGTTATGGAAACTGTGGATATGTACCTCGAGAAATTTGGCACCAACTTCCAGTTCTGATTCTTCAGTCGGGTTCTTCTCCGAGCCTGTGCTGTACATATACCTCGCAAGCGAAAAACTCCGAACTAAAATCTTTCTTTTGTTCTCCATTGCTAGATCAAGTTTCAGCTTCTTTGGCACAGTCAGCGAACTATTCAGTTTCTTCTGATACGCGATCACCGCTTTCGCAAATTCCTGCAATATCAACCACACGATAAAACGTAACCAATCAGTAAAAAAGACAGTAGAGTTAAAGATTTTAGCTCTATGCCTTTTAAGAACACAAACCTGGTAAGCAGCAGGACAACCAGGGTAATCAAACTCATCTATATCTTGCTGTCTCATTCTCTCGGGATGAAACTGCAATCCCATGATGAACTTGCCCTCTTCCGGGTTGTAAGCATCTGGATCATAAAATCCTTCGATCAATCCATCAGGAGCAAAGGCCATTGGCACGAATCTCTGTGCCAATCTCTTAACACCTTGGTGGTGATAACTATTAACCAAAATATCCATCTTGTCTCCATCCAATGAATCTTTGAACCATGAATGCAGAGGACTGTTCTCTACCAGACTTACAACATGTCTGTACCCATCATAGTCATCATAATCGATGTGTTTGGTTCTACGTCCCTCAGGTAGCTTATTTGTGAGTTCTTTCTCCAAGTCCATGTAAAGGGTTCCACCACAAGCAACATTTAAAACCTGCAAGTTTCATTGCAAAACATTTAGCCAATGTTCTGTCCCTCTGTCCAGAAGAAAAACCAAATACCCAACTCAAAACGAAAACACGGATTAATCACCTGTGATCCTCTGCAGATCCCCAAGTAAGGAATGTTCTGTTCAAGGCAGAGTTTGGCGAGCCTTAGCTCGATAGAGTCTTTCTCCCTGTCGATGGCTGTGTCGCTAGCGTGTGTTTTCCGGATCTCTTCGAGTTCTTGTGGCGAAAGAGAAGATATTTCGGACTCGTAAAGAGAAGGGTCAATGTCTTCTCCTTCGCAGAGGAGAACTCCATGGATGGGCTTGAAGCTCTCAAGCAGCAAGTGAACGCCATTCACCCGTGGAACAATCACAGGTACAGCACCGTACTGGACTATAAGATCAAGATGATACTCACCTGAACAAATACAGAAGCAATCAAACCAAAATATGGTATCAAATGCACCAAGATATACTCCTTTGCATGTATATAAACTGAAGGATACATAAATTTTACACATGAAGAAGAAAGCTCATATACTTTTGAAGCCATGAAAGGCTTATAAAGTTTGAGAATACACCAAAGAAACCGCAAAGGAAGCCAATGAATTGCAAGAAAAAGTTGAACCCAGGAAACATAAAACGCACGTATCAGATAAACACACAAACATCTAAAAAAGCGAAAAGGAAAAAACCCAGGAAAATCTGCAGAAAAAACCCAAAGAAATCGAAGAGAGATCATGAAATAGACATGGTTCATACGATGAGGAACAAACCCCATATTTCCAAATCTAATTCAAATCAGAACCGTGCGCTCGAAAGTTGAAACAAACGAAACAAAAAACGTTGAAAGAATGATATTGTGATTCATGTACAGATTAACACGTGTTAAGCATGAAAAAAAAAACAAGGGATTACCAACGAAATCGACGAATTTGTTCTTGCGAACGGTGCGCCGAGAGACAATGAGGACACGGGGGAGGATCTGAGAGAGATCATCCACGAGAGAATTCTCCATTGTCGAGCGGTGATCTCAATAAAAACGAACCCCCGAAAGAATCTCGACAGAGCGGAAAAGACGAAGGCGAGACCAACGCTGGAGAAAATAGTGTGCGATAGATCCGATGTGACTTTGAGACGCAACGGAGAGTTCTGAGATTCTCCGAGCGAGAGGAACGCGGTATTTATAGTGCAGAAGAAGAGGGAGGCTGTGCAGCCCGCTTGGACTTTTTTTTCTTTTCATTTTCCTAATTGCTCTGATACTGTTTACGTATTAATTAATTAATTAATTAATTAATTAGGTAATTAATTACCTGATTTATTAATTAATTGCTAATCCATTCCCCGTGTTTCTAACAAATAGTTTTAAAGCTTTATTAATAAGCTAATGGACCTTAGTATATACTACTACAACCATACAGCTAAATCTTTCTTTATATTTCGGATAAGCTATTAAAATATCGTAATCACAGTTTAAATTGGATTTTTATGAGACAATTATCCATGCATATGTTTATAGTATAAAATTAAAAAAAAACTTACAGAAAAAATCTACAAATCTATCTTTTAACTAAAAAGATTATGAACTGTTGTATATGATAAACTTTTATTCATTAAAATATTTTTTTTTTCAATTTTCTCCATACATCATGTGAATAAAATAAAATAAGGGTAGTTTATTGTATTAAAAATATACTATATCGATTCGTACATTTGTAGATAACTTAAGAAAATGATTTTGCGATTTCCTTTTATTATTTATGAAACAAAATTATTAATATAATAATTGAAAACTTTGAGTGTGAATTTGGAAATTTACTTAATTGTTGTTGACACTTGAAGGCGGAATATGTATAAGGCATATTGGATTGTAATATAGAGAAACAATTGAATGAAATAAAATATCTACAATGATATGAAAATTGATCAGGTTTAATTTTGTTAAAATAAATTTAATTGGATATGAATTGAATACAGAAAATTGGAGAAATCGAATATTTAATAAATTAAAAATAAGAAAATAAAATCTGAATTAAAATTAAAAAAAAAACTAAATGGAAATATATATATTTTATAAAATCGAAAACAATCCACTCAAATTATAACTAAAATCTGAAACTATAACCCTAATCTATGAGATAAATATGGCACCGATATAATTAATATGATTATGATGCATGGAAGCTTTTTTTTCTGGTTGCCTGGTTGGCAACTTCCTCGGTACTCTTTATATTCTACTAATTGGCATTTGCAATCTCAAAACATTATTATTATTATTATTATTATTATTATTATTATTATTATTATTATTATTATTATTATTATCGTCGTTATTATTATTAGTAGTTGTTTCTGTAATCATTTTTGTGGTTCAGTTAGATTTTATACAGGAGAAAACTATGAAAAAATAAAAGCAATTATTAGATAAAGATTTAGGCTTGATCCGAAATTAAAGACAAATTTTAAATATACAAAAAATTATGGGGCTATCTACCCCCACAGTCCGATATGATTTTGAATATAGATCAATTTTTTATTTCGACTCTAAATAGTATCTTGATTGAATATAGTTTTTAAAATTTTAAATAATTATTTAATTTTATTCATATATAATTTACTAGATAAGATAATGAAATAGAAGGATTTATAAGATAATTTAAAAAAACTAACGACAGATATTTCATTATATTCAATAAAAAAAAAAAGTATCACGTAGTTGAAACCTCATCCACGAATATAGAATTAAAGTTGGATGGAACTCTAACTTTTTGAAGTTATGGACAAATGTGAAAACAAATAAGTTTGATGTGGTGAAAATGAAATAAAAGCACTCGGAGGTGAGTCAGAGATCTCTGCAAGCACATGAAGAGCCAAAACGTGTGACACGTGGAGAGCAAGCTTATCCTGGGAAGGCTCGTCCTAAGGCCGGCCATTTTGCTGACGTGGCAAAACCCCAAATTAGAACTTTTAGACTTTATTACGTCATCTTTGATTTTTTTTTTTTACATATCAGTAACCTTAAAAAAGTTATACGGATAAGAAACTTTTATTTATTTAACTATATCCGACTTCAGAATGATTAGATTTGAATTCTTTTTTATTCAAATAATGTTGTTTTAAAAGTAGTTTTTAGATATATGTATATTTTCATATTTATTTTGAATTCAATTCCCATTTATTTTATTTACAAAAAATGTATAAAATTTAGATGAAATTCAATTTTTTTTGTTAATGAGATGAAATTGGATTTTGGTCGAATATAGGTGTAAAAACTGAAAAAAGAAAAATATTAGATATCGAAAGGTGAATTAAAAGAATAAAAAAATAATATTTGTACTTCAGACTAATAAGATGGATTAAAATACTTATTGGGAATTTACGACACATAAATTTTTTAAAATTTGTGAAACTTCTTCTCCCAAATTCAAAACATTTTGTTAAAAAAAAGTGAAGAGAAATAAACAGTATATTCAATATGATATTTTATATGAAAAATTCATGATTCAGCGTAAAGAAAACCAAGGAGCTGTCGGCGAGTGATACACGAACAATTTCTAGATCCGATCACGTAGTTTCAGCTGGTGGAGTGGGGAGCCAGACATTGGGTCGGTCCATAAATTCAGGTTTTATTTAATTTCACATTTATCATCGCTATTGAGAAACCTTTTCCTGTGTATAATATATGGTCAGTAAATGTATAGAATTGTACACATATATTATGCCAATCCAATATGGATTGCATTTTTCATTTTTTTCTTCATCCTGATGCCCTCGTGCTAATTATCCGTAATTGATTTGGATTCAAATCAAATTTATTATATTTAAATTTAAATTTTATGATTGGATATCTATCGAATGCAACATAATTATAGAAACATATTTTACATTATTAAAATTACAATATTATCTTTAATTATTTTTAAAATTACAAAACTATCTTTCATTCTTTAAAAATAATTATAATATCTATTAAAATATAGAAAACCTCTTATTATTTTATACAATTATACTTAAATAATTTCAGATATTTAAATACTTGCATAAAAATTTCGATACCTAGCACTTTTAAACAGTCCATGTCCATCTAAAATAGCTTCGCAAAGTTATGGTTTATATATAATTAGCTCTGGACAAATCAAAAATTGGCTTAAGAGATCTCAAATAAGAAATTATAAATTATTTCGAGATCTCTTGACAAACGATAGAAGCTTAAAATTTGCTGAATTTAATATTGTAAATTATTTTCGTAGACTCGTGAGAGATAATATATTAAATTGATATAAACATATATAAAAAAATAGAAAGAATCTAGTAAGATATTATTGCATGGACAAATACCGATATGGGAAAAAAAAGTCAGAAAATCTAGTTTTTGACTATTGTTTTGGTCCCTCATATGACCCATATTTTCTTATTAATAATAATTGTACGCAATCCGCATGAGAATCGGGAGATAAATAATTTAATTGAAGACATTCTAATACTCTTTTGAGTTTTTTTTATTATTTCGCGTATAGTTAAAATATTGTTGAGTTTAATTGTTTTGATTAAAAATAATATTTATTGGATTTTACTAGAATTTATATTATATTTAATTCGTATTTAAAATACGGTTCAATTTATTCCTTTTTTATATTAACTAATGTTTAATTATTCTATTACATCAATTTTAAATTTAATGTTTTACAAATTAATAGCCTAATAATTCGTCGTCAATTGGTGCGTTCCACTTTATGGACTGCCACGTCAAATTTAAGGGGTCAACCGTAAGCGGGTCCATTTTGTTTTATGATCTTCATTGAATGACGATATTTATTATTTTGTAAAAAAAATCCACGTGGTGGCCGACGGTATTATAATGTTATTATTTATTTTAATCAAAAGAAAACGGTATATTCCACAATTAGGGGTAGCGGAAGACTTGGACCCATTGCTGAAAGTTACATCTAAGTTATTTTATTAATCTTGTGATAAACGCTTGTGATAATTTAATGCTGAGGCATGCCTTATTAGAGACTATTGATTTTACCGGGCTTTAGGTTATGTATATTATCGATTCATTCTATTTTTAATTAAAAAAAATTACATAAATATGAAAAACTAAAACTAAAAAAAATATAAAGATTTAATACATTACAAAAAATACTAATTATATTTCGTGTTCAGTACTATATTCTTCGTTTATATTTTTGTTTGTCACTTTATATTAAAGAAATTTGTAAAAGAAAAGAAATCGACCTATGGTCGACCGATATCGACACTATTATTGTGTCATTAATGGAATATTATGGTATTGCGTAATTCCATAATGATCAATTTTATTACGCAATTATATATCTCTAATAGATCATAATGGAATTATGCAATACCATAGTATGGTCTCTTTTCATATAAAAATCATAAAACTCTGCCGTTATTGGATTATTAATTATCATAATAAGGTTTCTATAAGACTCCATTAGGCATATTATGTTTACTGTATTATCTCACCATTAAAATTTCCATATACTTATACTTAAATATGAAAAATTAACCAAAATCGGAACACAATTTTACACTCTTTTTTTTTCTTTTATAATATACGGTGTACACACACACACACACATATATATATATATATATATATAATGTATAATCACAAGTAATGATAAAAATCGTTTATTATTCCAAGATTCAACAACTTGGAAAAGGAATACGACAGGCTCGGAGGACTTTACGAGCGTTAGGAGATGTAACGACAGAACGCATGCAGTGGTTTTTATGGCGAGGCTTCTGCTCAGCATTGCGCCTTTGTGGTTATCGCCGTCAAACACGGCCGCAGCTCCCATCCTCTTCCTCCGCCGCCACCGCAGTATATAAATAGGCGCCGTTTGGGGAAGCAATAGCGTTGTCGTTGCGAACGCTATGAACTATTGGACTCCTCATGTCATGGCTTGCAAAAAGATTTTTTTTTTCTTTTTTTGTCAGAATTTTGATGTACTTTTTTCGTCTATTGGATATATAAATAACTTATTCTTTTTTGGCGGAAATTATATATTTTTATATATATAATTGTTTAGGGAGGGACAAGTGTCTTAGTGTTCAGACGTTGCATGCGTCCGTGCATGGTGACGAGTCCACGTATTTGGTCGCCATGCAGATTACGTGACAAAAGATATACACACA